TCCACTAGGACTCCAAGATCCCTTTCCGCTTCCGTGCCACCCAGCAGGTCATTTCCTAGGCAGTAGGTATGCTGGACATTTTTCCTCCCTAGGTGCAGCACTTTGCATTTCTCCTTGTTGAATTGCATTCTGTTGTTTTCTGCCCATATGTCCAACCTGTCCAGGTCTGCTTGTAGTTGTTCCCTGCCCTCCAGTGTATCCACTTCTCCCCACAGTTTTGTGTCATCTGCAAACTTGGACAGAGTACATTTCACTCCCTCGTCCAAGTCGCTGATGAAGTCATTGAAGAGTATCGGTCCAAGGACCGAGCCCTGCGGGACCCCACTGCCTACACCCTTCCAGGTTGATACCGACCCGTCCACTACGACTCTCTGGGTATGACCCTCTAGCCAATTCGCCACCCACCAGACCGTGCAGCCCTCCAAGCCACAGCCTCTTAACTTGTTCACCAGTATGGTGTGGGATACCATATTGAAGGCCTTCCTGAAGTCTAAGTAAACAACGTCAACCCCTACTCCCGCGTCCAGGTGTTTTGTAACCTGGTCATAAAAAGAGACTAGATTAGTCAGGTATGATCTTCCTGCTACGAACCCGTGCTAGTTTCCCCTCAGCATAATTTTTCCTGCCAGGCTCTCGCAAATGTGAGCCTTGATAATTTTTTCAAAGACTTTGCCAAGGATGGAGGTGAGACTGGAGTACTGCATCCAATTTTGGGCTCACCAGTACAGAAAGGATATAGATAAATTAGAATCCAGTGAAAGGCAAAAAAAAAAAAAATGGTTAGAGGGCTGGGGCACATGACTTATGAGGAGAGTCTGAGGGAAATGGGCTTATATAGTCTAGAGAACAGGAGACTGAGAGGGGATTTAATAGCAGCCTTCAACTACCTGAAAGGGGGTTCAAAAGAGGATGGAGTTAAACTGGTGGCAGAACAAAACAATGAGCACTAGTCTCCAGTTGCAGCAAGGGAAGTTTAGGTTAGATATTAGGAAAAACATTCTCACAAGGAGGATAATAAAGCCCTGGAACAGGTTACCCAGGGAGGCTGTGGAATCTCCATCCTTGGAGGTTTTTAAGACCCAGCTAAACAAAGCCTTAGCTGGGATGATATAGTTGGAAGTAGTCCTGCTTGAAGCAGGGGTTTGGATTAGATGACCTCTTGAGGTCCCTTCCAACCTTAATTTTCTATGATTCTATGATTCTCAGTTTGGTTCAACTTTAAGGCATCATTTGGGCTTTTCTGTTTCAACCAGATAAAATAGCATTTTGAGTGGGAAAAATGTTATTCTTTTCACTGGAGTTGACCATTCAAGCCATGATTTTCTGAGAGAAAAATTTCCACGTGACAAATGCTGTGCAGAGTGGCATGGCAAGTGTCGGAAAGGGCTTTCTGAGGTCCCAGAACATCCGTAACCCTACGACCACAGCATCTGTAATACACTGCAGTGCAGCCTTGAATTTAATTGAACTGACTGTTCTGGACAACACTGTTTGTTTTGTTCCTTTTATTGCAGTAATTGTTTCCTTTGTTTTGTGCTGTTCTCATAGATTCAAGGACTGGGTCTCCTGTCCTCTGTAACTGAAATAAATTACATTACAATCAAGTGGGAAATTTTCCTTCAGGCATTTCACACCCAGTGTGAACTTTTGCTCTCAGTTTCTCTTTGATTTACCTCCTCCATCTCTCCTATATTGGAATAGTATCAAGCATGCACTTGTTCTTTACTGCAGAAGTTCAGGGGATCTGGAGGACTGAACATGGGGTCCTGGGCCTCACCTCTGATCCTGACTTTGCTGCTTATATTTTACATGACTTTGAAGAAATGAGTTTACCTTTCTACCTCAGTTTCTCAATGCGACCAAAAGTCTCTCCCCAGTGAGGATGAGCTAATTCATGTGTGCTCTCCTTTGAACATTTGAAGTGCTATGCACCTGCTAGATAAGTATTATAAATGCTTAATAAAAGCTCTAAGAGATCCTTGGGCTTTGTGCTGGTTCTCTGCATAGGAGTGAGTATAAGCCTAGTACAGGCAGTCCTCGACTTATGGCGTTTCGATTTACGGCGATTCGCACTTGCGGTAGTCCACCATTTACACCCCTGTCATTACGTATGGCGCCGGATCCTCGTACTTATGGCAGGCAACAAGCTGAGCACGGAGCGCAGTGGAGGCACCAAGGCTGGCGCAGGACACTTACCGGAGGTAAGCTCAGGCAGCAGCTCCTCCCCAAGGCCATGTGCTCCCGGCAGTAAGACAGGGACGGGGGCTGGGGCTGGGACTAGGGGCTGGCACCTAGGGGCTGACACTGCTTTGCTTCCCAGCCCCAACACCATGTGCCTTCTCGCTCCCAGAGGCATAGCGAGGTGGGGACGGGGGCTGGGGGCTGGTGCAGGCTCCGTCGGCTCCAGGGAACTGCTCTGCGGGCTCCACCGGCTCTAGGGGACTGCTCCGCGCTCCTGCATCACCTCGAGGAGTGAGGAGGCACATGGCATCAGGGCTGGGGAGCAGAGCAGTTCCCTGGAGCTGACGGAGCCCACGAAGCAGTTCCCTGGAGCCCGCACCAGCCACCAGCCCCATCCCTCATCCCTGCCCCTGCCCTTGCCTTGCCTTGCCTTGCCTCGCCTCACCTCAGGGAGGAGCCACTGCCTGCCCTACCTGAGGACTGAGGAGCTGACCTTCAGTAAGTGTCCCACGCTGGCCCCAGTGCCTCCCTTCCAGTTCTGTCAATCAATTGTTTCCGGCCCATAACATTCTGATTAAATGTTATGTGATTAGTTACTGCATTGCACTTTAGAAAGCTTTGTACAGTACAGTGTATATTATTTATCAGTGTATATCATTTATAGTTGATTAAATAGTTGATTTAAATATAGTGTTTATGGTCATTTCTAGAAAAAGCTGGGCCCTTGGTCAGGAACATAACCCCTTATTATAACATTGTTTCTATGGGAAAATCAGATTCGACTTACATCATTTCAACTTACAGTGCCTTTTCCAGGAACATAACCCGCCATAAGTGCGAGGACTGGCTGTACTTGTAAAGCACATTATGTACCTTGGATAGAAGCAGGTATAAAAGAACAAAGTATTTGTGATCAAGACATCTTGATCATGCTGCACTTTCCAGGCAGGTCACATTTCATGGGCTACTTGGAAAGTTGCTTATATATTTAAATACAATTGCTGCTCTGTAAAATCCTTGCCAAGGAGCAGATTTTTTCCAAATAAGGCTAAGGATGTATCCATGAGTTAGTGTGGATCAATTGCAAAGGCCCAGGGGCTCTTCAGTGCATTTCTGTTTATCCCAAAACTAGCCATACTGAAAGCGCTTTCCTTATCGTCCCTGCAGCATGTCCACCCACAAGCTGACAAGTGAGGCCTCCTTCATCTTCTATGAATTCTGGCAAGATGTGACTTCATGGAGAAGGTGTGAGGTGTAGTGCAGTCCTTGTGTTTGTATGCCAGGTGATAAAAGCTAAATCCAGGACAGCCCAGAAACCACTGAGCCAGGACTTCCATTTGGATGTTCGGTCACGGAGCCCTTTTCAGCCTTTCTCTTTCTGTGCCTAACCTGATCCAACCTGTACCACATCATGGCTGAGCTGTATCAGGAGTCAATGAGGGTATTGTGTGTTCAAGAGAAAAGGCCTTCTAGTCTCTGGAGTCCAAAGCCCACCACGCTGCTCTACCCTATGAGCATGTACAAAGAGGTGGGCAGAAGAATCTGCGTACACACAGGCTCAAAAGAACAGGCACAACCACAAGTTCCAACCCCCCCTGTATGTACAGTGATGCTAATGCATCACACTGATGTCAGTGTTGTCTTAACTCTCTTCTTGCTTTGCAGCCACCTGCAGTCCAATTACAGCAAGACTTTCCAGCGGGCCATCATTGACTTGCTGGAGTCTCCAGAGCTCATGACTACCATGCTCTTCCCAGGTAGGCTATTCTTTAGCACAGGCCAATTTAGATGAAGTACAGAAAGGAGTTACTCACTCTGGACATCATCCTACAGCCTTTAGCCAAGAGTAGTGCCCATTAATGTCATTCCATACCATACACAGAGGGGTACAAGTAGTGGGGTTTTTGGTTTGGTGTCCACTTGGAAAGAACAGCAACAAAAAATTGTTCCAGTTGTTGCAGCTGTTCGAGATCAAATGAAATGATATTGTTTGACTCCCCCCCTCCCCCCGCACTAGGCAAAAAGGTACAGTTTAATTTGTGGGTCATATAATCTTTTGGGGCCTTTAAAAAAAAAAGAAAGAGGAATGTATACATTTCAAAATGGAAAGTCATAATATTGTGCTTTCACTTTTCCAAAATAGATTTTCAGCTAAAACTATTTGCCAAATTTGTCCTAAATCCATGACTAGTTTCAGTGGCTCTCAAACTCTGTTTTTCAGCAGACTTACTATTCACCAATAAAAATTCATCCATTTTTAACTGGACACCAAGGACACATCCCCATGAGTGGGAATGTGCAGCTTGCGGCACCTCAAATCCTTTTAAGGCACTGCAAAATGCACATGGCACAAGTTAATCTTTTCACTGCGCTGCATATTTGCAACACAGGGCCAAAATTAGATACCAGGAAATCCCAGTATCTAAAAAAAATGTGCCAAAAAAAAGCAGCACAGCACACATGGCAACAGCATTCACCATGCAAAACTGGAGCCTAGCTGGCCAAAGCCACACTCCAGCTGCCTGCCAGACTGCGTGCATCTGGATTGCTGCTGCTGCAGCCATGGGGGGCCCCCAGGACCACAGGTAAGGCCTCTAGAACCTCAGCCTCCCCTACCCCACCCAAGGCAATTTGACATGCGCCACAGTGCACGTGCAGGGGTGTGCCCAAGGACAAGTAGCAGCAGCACAAGTATGTGCCACTGTTGTTTGTCCCCAGGGCAACACACATCCGTGCTCATGGGGACGCACCCCAAGAGTCTATAGTAGGAGTCTGTTCACCCACCAGTGAAATGCAGTCAGCTCCAGGATGGAATGCAGCAGCTGTTTAACAAGGCACAGCCACACAAGAGCTTAAACCAGGAAGCGAAGAAGAAAACTTAGCTAGAGAGAGAACTGAGTGGCACAGAGTGAAGCTATTTGCATTAGGGTAGGACACATAGGTGGAGGGAGAAAAGTAAGTCTGTGGGGGAAGGGGCAGGGGGTGGGATGCAGACTGAGGCCTTAGCAGTGAGGGAGGTAGAGAGGCACAGGCAGGAGCAGGGGCTAGAGTGAATGGAACCCTAGCCGGACCAGGTGGTGGAACAAGCGAAGGCCCGGGGGGCACATGCCCCCCTCCTCCCATGATCTGTGCGCGGGGTGGAGGCAGCTGCTGCTGCATGTTGCATTTTAAGCCCTGATGCCCCGAGGGCTGCGTGACACCACATGCGTCCCGCCACCAGGGGGTATGGCACAGCCCAGCAGCAGCAGGCACATGGCATCAGCCACTCCTGGGGCAGCTGCAGCAGGGAGCAAAGTGCAGTGCACAGCAGCAGCCACCTCCATCCTGCACACAGATTCGGGGAGCACATGCTCCCTGGACCTCCGCTTGCCCTACCACCTGGCCTGGCCAGGGTCCCACTCACCCCAGCCCCTGCTCCTGCCTGTGCCCCACTCTCTTTTTCCCCACTGGGGCCTTGATCTGCCCCCTCCATGGCAGTGAGGGAGGGAGTGGGGCTGGGCGTGGGGCAGGAGCAGGCCC